GCTTGAACCTGGGAGGCGCAGCTTGCAGTGAGCCGAGATTGCGCCACTGCACTCCAGCCTGGGTGACAGAGGGAGACTCTGTCTCAAAAAGAAAAAAAAAAGGTGAAAAAAATCAAGGGTTGAACTAGATGACCTTCCATAGGCTTCTCGGCCCCACCACTGTATAGTTCTAGGAGATGGGCACCATGTGCAGAGGGGAGCTGAGCGGGTTTGAGAAAGTGCTGGTTTATACAGGGAGGTGACCCACCAGGGCCTCTTTCTCCAGGGCCAGTGGCCAATCTGCGGCACAATCTCAACGACGTGATCGCATCGCTGGGCTGCACCGTGGAGCTGCAGATCAACAACACCCGTGCGGCTTGGCGCGTCTCCACAGCCCCCTTACGGGCCGTGTTCAAGGACCTGCTGGTCAGGAATCTGCACAGGCAGGGCCTGGGGGGGTCCCTCTCCCTGGAGCCAAGTTTACTTGAGCTGGGAGTTGTCACCCTGGATTTACAGTTCTCCAGTGGGGATACTACTGGCATTTTTTGCAGAACTATTCCCAAACATTGCAGAATATGCCCTGGTCCTGGGACATTAAATGCCAGGAGAGCCCCTGAGCCATTGGGACATGCTCTATACACATTTCCCAATACTTGAGTGGTCAGTACTCTGGACAGCTGAACTAGAATATCTAGGAAATTTGAGGGCCTTGGCCTTAAGTAGCTGAGAAGTTTTGAAGACAAGAGGATTCAAGAGTTGGGTATTGGAGGGCTGGAGACTGGGGTTTGAGAGAATTGGAGAGCTGGAGAGTTGGGGAGATGGGGGCTGAGGGGTTTGGAAGTTGGGGCATTCAGATGGCATAATGATCTCAGAGATTAGTGGTGAAGGGTAAGGTCTAAGGACCTGGGGAACCACTGACCAGGAAGGGTCTGGGATGGGAGGACCGAGAAGAGCTGAAAGTCCCGGAGGTACGCAGAGCCAGGACATGTGGGATCAGACAAGACAGCTGTGGAGAGGAGGGAGCTCCCAAGGGCAATGGACAGCTGGGAATTTGAGGTGAGAGGCTGTGTCTCAGGGCCTAGGCTCCCTGCCAGCCTGAGGTGAGAGCCCAAAGCTCGGCTACTTGGGGAGGACAGGCCCTCAGGCAGCAGAAGCTCTAAAGCCTCAGCCCTCGCCCTTTCCTCCCTCCACCTCCAATCCCAGAGCAGCAAAGAATTGCTGAGAGCAGAGACTCGGAACATCTCCACCACCTTTGAGGACCTGGATGCCCAGGTGAAGAGCGAGACAGGCTACACACCTGAGGATGCCGTGGACTCAGGGGAGACAGCCCAGGGCAGGGAGGCCCACCAAGCCCCAGCCTCCAGCCTCCACCTGTCGACACAGAAGATGTATGAGCTGAAGACCAAGCTGCGTTGCTCCTGTGAGGGGTATCCCTGGGGAGTGGAAGGTGGGGTGGGATGCAGGGCCAGCGTTGTGGATCAAGATGTGGGGACCTCAGACACCCTTGTTCCTTCCTACAGATGTGGTGAACCAGGCCATACTCAGCTGCCGTCGTTGGTTTGACCACAAGCATGAACAGTGCATGAAGCACATCTGGGTCCCACTCCTCACCCACCTGCTCTGCCTGCCTATGAAGTTCAAGTTCTTCTGTGGCATTGCCAAGGGTCTGCACAGTTGCAAAGGGGTGGGGAGCATCAGGGGTAGGGAGCTGAGTCCTTGGGACCCATGGTAGGTGACAGGCAGGAAAGCAACAGATGAGGAGGGTTTTGGCCCTGAGGCCACAGCATCCTTAGAGCCCAGTCCATCTGCTGAATAGCTCTGTGACCCAGGGTGAGTTACAGCAAAGCTGTGAGCTGTGGCTCTTCATCTGAAAGATGGGCATGGGCAGAATAACAGTTCTTGCATTAAGGGCTTTTTTTTTTCTTTTTCTTTTGTGAGACGGGATGTTTCACTCTTGTCACCCAGACTGGAGTGCAGTGGCACGATCTCGGCTCACTGCAACCTCTGCCTCCCGGATTCAAGCGATTCTCCTGCCTCAGCCTCCCAAGTAGCTGGGATTACAGGTGGCCGCAACCACGCCCAGCTAATTTTTGTATGTTTAGTAGAGACGGGGTTTCACCATGTTGACCAAGCTGGTCTTGAACTGCTAACCTCAGGTGATCCACCCACCTCAGCCTCCCAAAGTGCTGGGATTACAGGTGTGAGCTATCGCACCCAGCCACATTAAGGGCTTTTGAGGATTTACGGGGCTAACATATGTGAAGGCCGTGGCAGAGCTGGCACACAGAGGAGCTGCTCTGTAAATGCTGGCTCTCCTTACTGATGTTTGTTATGGTTGAGGATAGGTTGACAAAAATGGGGGAACTCAGGCCTGGTTCCTGGAAGGCAGAATCCAAAGAGAGCAGAGAGGGGAAGACTCGGTGTTGGTATGGTAGCAAGCCATGGGCAGAGAGACAAAAAAGTAGGATGAGGAGGACCACAGAAGGACAGGCAGGCCAGGTCTGCACCTGGAGGACAGGCCCAGGGAGGCCCCCTGACCCCGCCCACTGTCCACCAGTGATGGAGGTTTGGTGCCGCAATCGCATCCCAGTGGAAGGCAACTTTGGGCAGACCTACGACACCCTCAACCAGTCTATTCGTGACCTGGATGGGGAATTTTCAGTCAATATTGACTTCAAGGTAGAAGGCAAGGGCGAGGGTTGGTGGGGGGTAGATAGGGAGTGGGAGGAGGGCATTAGGGAATAGGGCTAGAGTAAGGACAAGTGAGAGAGCACAGGAAAGAGGTGACCAGGGGTGAGGAAGGGGGACAAGGAGGGGAATGTCGCTGGTGTTGAGGAGGCCCTCTGTTTCTCATCTCCATCCCCGAACACCTAAGATGGGCAGGGGAGGGGAAAGGTGGTGAGGAAGGGACAGTGCCAAGCCTGTGGTTTGTGCAGACTTGGCCTGGGGCGGGAGCTATCAGCCAGATATGAGATGATGTCAGCTGATGTAGGTGCAGGGGAGCAAGACTGTGTCCAGGAGGGTAGTGAGCAGAAGGAAGTGACAACTCCTGGAGGTCCCGGAAGGGTCCCGGAGACACAAGTGGGGTGCTGGGGGACAGATGGCATGAAGAGGTGGGACCTGGGTCTGGCGAGGCAGCCGCAGGCTGAGTTTGCTCATGTGCCCTCCACCAGGAAGAGAAGCAGGCTGGGGTGCTGGGGCTCAACGCGAGCTGGGAGCGAGTGAGCACTGAGGTGCGGGACTACGTGCACCACCAAGAGGCCCGGCTGGAGTGGGCCCTGGGGCTGCTGCACGTGCTGCTCTCCTGCACTTTCCTGCTGGTCCTGTACACGTGAGCCATTGTCCCCACCACAGCAGCCCTCCTCTGCCCAGAACTAGAGCCCTGCCCTGAGGCAGGCTGTAAGGATGGAACCCTAGTGCCTATTCCCACCTCTGAACCTGAGTATCATTTACTTTTGTCTTCATTAAGTTTGTTTACACAAAGTTAAAGGAAATGTGGACATTTTGTCAGAAGAACATTACCCATGTTCCCACTGCCTTAAAAGGCCAACCATCTTCATTCATCCACCTCCTTCCAGCCTTTATCCCAATACTGATTTTTTTTTTTTTTTACATTTAGCTTTGACTTTTGATTTTTTCTTGCCCTTCATATTCCCCTTGGCTCTGACTTTGTGCCATTTTTATCTTTCCATTTTGCTTTCATTTTCTCCTGCCTGCTGCGTTGGCAGCGACTTTCCCTCCATTTAGAAGAAAGTCCTCAACCCCACCCAGCCCAGTGACCAGCTGGACTGCCCCGGGCCTTGCTCTGCTCTAGCTCCCCTGCTGGTCTCTGGACCTTCTATTTCCCATCTCTACTCCTAAACACCTGAGATGGGCAGGGCTTAGGTGAGGGCCGCCACAGGACTGTTGCTCTGTCTGCCCGTGTGGGGGGCCTAGAGTGACTGCAAGTGAGTGGCTATGTGTGTATCTAGGGCCCTGTGGGAAGACAAAGATGAAGGAGCTCTACTCCTGCCCTCAATAAGCTCATGGTCACCGGACATGGTGGCTCACTCCTGTAATCCCAACATTTAGGGAGGCCGAGGTGGGAGGATGGCTTGAGTTGAGGTGTTTGAGACCAGCCTGAGTAACACAGTGAGACCTCGTCTCTACAAAAAATGAACAAAATTAGCTGGGTATGGGGCACACGCCTGTAGTCCCAGTTACTTGGGAGGCTGAGGCAGGAGAATCACTGGGAGGTCGAGGCCGCAGTGAGCTGTGACTGTGCCACTCCATTCTGCATTCCAGCCTGGTGTCAGAGTGAGAGCTTGCATCAAAAAAAAAAAAAAAAAAAAAAAAGCTAATGGTCTAGTTGGGGTGATGAGATACCCACAAGACAGAGATGGTTCAAGGGCCATTCTATGGATTGGCTTTTGGGATGTGTGTGGGAGCTGAGAAGGTGCCCCTAGAAGGGCCATAACTGGGCTCCAAATGGCTGCAGATGGGGAGCAATGGTCAAGGAAAGAAGGGTGTCCCTTGGGTAAGGCTCCTGGTATCCGTGGGGTACAGAGGGCAGAGGCTGGCCTGGAGGACTGAAGTGGGCATGACCAGAACAGTCTAGAAATCCCTGCAGGAAGACCTGGAACTGGCAGTGATGACAAGATGGCCTCAGGAAGTCTGGAGGCAGGGAGGCCAGGCTGGGTCAGAGGTTAGGGAGCCTGGCCCGGGGTAAAGCATGGCAGGAAGATGGCTTGAGGTGGAGGGGGAAAGGGAAAGGTGCAGCGAGGATCAGAGCCAGCTTGTGGAGGGAAGGAAGGAGGCACAGAGTCAAAAGCTACTTCCAGGCTTTCAAGCTGGGTGAGGTCATGCACTGAAAGGACAGCTGGCGGGAGGGCAGGCCCTGGCTCAGGAAGCCCAGGCACCGCCTCTGTGAGCCTCTCCACAAGAGGGCGCTCACAGTATGTCTTTGCACTTACAGTTGTTTTAAAGGCAAAGATGTGGATTTTTACAGGGCCCCAGAAGCAATAGCATTGAAACTAATGTTGCACGCTTTACAGAGTTTATTTAATGTACTTTTACAGTTTTAAACACATTTGCAATAATTAACATTTTTTCCTTAGCAAACTGAAGCATTATGTGGGGCTTTGGGAAATACGTGGGAGATAGCTATATATGCAGGCATGCACCCATGCACACATGCACCATGCTCAAGGGTAGGCAGGGAGGGCCAGGGTGTATTGGGGAGGATAGAGATGGTGGTTTGGGATGAGTTTTGCCCTAGCACACCTCCAGGAGATATGCTGCAGGCAAAGCCAAGAGGCAAGAACTTGTGAGCCACAGTGGATTAGATGATTCCTGAAACCTCCAGGAGTTTTCTGTCTCTGTGACTCTGCTCGATACTCATCCTGCAAGATGCATGCCTGTCCCTATCTCAGACGCACACATGCAGCTCCCTCCCAGACAGGCTGGCCATGCCCTCCTCTAAGCCCCCACCTCATCCCCTACTCACTTCTGCTATGTCTCACCCATCGTGTAGGGGGATATCTTCCTCTACACAACTGGAAGGCAGGGACAGAGTCTTCTCCTTATTATCACCATCGCCTAGCAGTGCCTAGGACATAGATGGTGCTCAATGAATGCTGGCTGGTTGACTGAAAGACTGTGCCTCAAGGAAGCCCATGTTTGGGGATGGATGAGGAGAACCTGGAGGAGACAGAGACATCCCCACCCATCCACCCACAGGTCTTTCTCCTACATGGACAGCTATAACCATGACATTCGTTTTGACAACATCTACATCAGCACCTACTTCTGCCAGATCGATGACCGCAGGAAGAAGCTGGTGAGTGGGTGTGGCACTGCCCAGGGATGCCTTGCTATGTGCCCTGTGTGGGTTCATGTTCCAGGAAGGCAGAGGGGGAAAGGGCAGAGGGCCCTTGGGCTTCCTAACTGTGTGGACATTTGTTTTCCAGGGCAAACGGACTCTGCTGCCACTCCGCAAAGCTGAGGAGAAAACCGTCATCTTCCCCTGCAAGCCCACCATCCAGGCCTCAGAAATGAGCAACATGGTGAGGACAGCATGGGGTGCGGGCTCCTGGGTGCAAAGACAGGCCTGAAGGTGAGGGTGGAGGGTAAAAGGCACCAGAGAGTGCTCCGTGCCCAGACAGGTGGCGCTGCCCAGCTCTGCCCCTCCTGCTCCTTGGCCAGGTGAGGGAGCTCCTGGAAACACTGCCCATTCTGCTGCTGCTGGTGGTGCTATGCGGCTTGGACTGGGCTCTCTACTCCATCTTCGACACCATCCGCCACCACTCCTTCCTGCAGTACTCCTTCCGCAGTGAGCCCATCCCCCAGACACATTCCAGGCCCAAGAGACACCCTCTGGAGAACTCCAATGCCTGCACAGGCACTCCACCCTCGTTCTTCCAACTGTGCCTCCTCCTTCTGCCTTTTTTTTTTTTTTTTTTTTCCTGAGACAAAGAGTCTTGCTCTGTCACCCAGGCTGGAGGAGTGCAATGGCACGATCTCAGCTCACTGCAATCTCCACCTCCCAGATTCAAGCAATTCTCCTGCCTCAGCCTCTTAAGTAGCTGAGATTACAGGTATGAGCCACCATGGCCAGCTAATTTTTCTATTTTTAGTAGAGATGGAGTTTCACCATGTTGGCCAGGCTAGTCTTGAACTCCTGACCTGACCTCAAGTGATCCACCTGCCTTGGCCACCCAAAGTGCTGGGATTACAGGCATGCACCACCGTGCCGGCCATCCTTCTGCCTCTTCTTTTCCCCTTTCTATGATTCAGCCCCTCCCTGTCCTCCTCAAGGTCAAATGTCAGCCCTGCAACCTGACAGCTCTCACAGCAGAGGAGGGGGGCTCTTTACCCCTTTATACTTACAACAGGGAGCAGAGAGGGGTTAGGATTCATCGAAGTGACAGAAAGACCCAGGCAGCTGAGAAGCATTTCTGTGTCTTGACCCCTCCTTGACATCCACCCCACATCCTGTCCCACCTCCTTAACACATTCCTGATTTCCCCACCTGCCCTGACTTCCCTACCCACCCTCCTGGCTGCAGGCAGTCATAAACTGGAGGTGAAGGTCGGGGGAGACTCCATGCTAGCCCGGCTTCTTCGAAAAACCATTGGGGCCCTAAACACCTCCTCAGAGACAGTGATGGAATCAAACAACATGCGTGAGTGATGCTGAAAGTTTGGATCAGAGGAATTGAGGGCGGTGGGGCAAGGGTCAAAAGACACCAAGGTAAAGAGTTGGGGGCCTGGGCCTCGGGTGTGGAGAGAGGGGCGTTGGAACATTTGAGCTGGGGAAATCGGAGCAGGGAACACATCTGGGCAGGCTTGAATAAGGGGAGCATGACAAGCTTGGGTCAGAGGAGTCTGGAGGCCAGGGTCTTGGGGCTAGAGGGCCCCAGCCCTCCAGAGCAGCACTCTCCAACAGGACGTTCAGCCAAGATGGAGATTTGCAAGATCTGTGCCACATTTTGCCCAGTGGCTACAGTACTGACAGGGCAGTTCTGCAGTGAGGGGCAGGCCGGAAGAGACCAGGGGAATCAGAGGCCCCGCCCGCACCTCCCACTGGGATGGGAAGTCCAACCCAGGGCTGCCCTGCTCCTTAGCTGGTCCTGACCAGACCCCTGGTCTGCCCCTCCCCTAGCCTGCCTGCCCCAGCCTGTGGGCCTGGATGCCAGGGCCTACTGGAGAGCTGCACTACCAATTGGCCTGTTAGTGTGTCTCTGCCTGTTACAGGCTTTTGGCTACCGACTCCGGAGGGTCATCGCAGCCTTCTACTTCCCCAAGGTTTGCCCCTCCCCAGACCTCTCCACCCCTACACACCTGCATGCGCGCGCACGCGCGCGCACACACACACACACACACACACACACACACGCACCCCTCCCCAGCCGCACCCAGCTCCCTACCAACTCCATCTTTGGGGGATGCCTTCCTCCTCACTGTCAATATCATTGACCCTCTCCCTGCCCCCAGCGAGAGAAGAAGCGGATCCTGTTCCTCTACAATGACCTACTGAGGAAGAGAGCAGCCTTCACCAAACTCAGGAGGGCCGCTATCCTGAGACGGGCGCGACAGCAGAAGGCTCCAGTAAGTCCAGGCGTGAGTGCTGCTGCCCGCTCCTGGCTGGGTTTAAGTACAGTGGGGCAAGGGGCAGCTCCCTTCAGTCTACCCAGCACCCACCAATGGTCGCAGGCCTACTCCAGCCTGGTGAGTTCTTTTTGTTTTCTGAGATGGAATCTCACTGTGTCACCCAGGCTGCAGTGCAGTGGCACGATCTCAGCTCACTGCAACTTCTGCCTCCCGGGTTCAAGCGATTCTCCTGTCTCAGCCCCCCATTCCACAAGTCGCCAGGATTACAGGCGCAGGCCACCACTCCCAGCTAATTTTTTGTATTTTTAGTAGAGACAGGGTTTCACCATGTTGGCCAGGCTGGTCTCAAACTCCTGACCTCAGGTGATCTGCCCACCTCAGCCTCCCAAAGTGCTAGGATTACAGGCGTGAGCCACCACACCCGGCCAAGCCTGGTGAGATCTGATGTAACACATGCTGAGGGCCCTAGCCATCCAGCTCCTAAGGTCAGGGCTGTGCCCATTTCTCAACCCCAGGATTCAGTCCAGCCTAAGACACTCAGTGGACCATTAGGAAGCAGGCAGAAAAGGAGAATGAGATTTAATAGTCTGCTCAAAGAAAAGCAAGAAGGCCGCACAGAAACAGGAGGCCCAAGGCAAAACCATAGGTTCTACCAGAGGGCTGCAGACCAGAAGCTCAGTGCAGTTCAGGGGATGGGAGGAGACAAGTGGGCTGGGAGTCAAGAAGGCCTCAGGCAGGGGCACATGGTAAGGCACATGGAATCTGAAGAAGCAGACTCCAGTCCAAACTCCCTCATTACGTTGTGTCACCTTGGCCAAGGTCTTCACTGAGCCTCAGTTTCTCCCTCTGAAGAATGGCAAGACTGGAGAGATCTGTAAGGCCTGCTCACTGGAGATCAGCCTAGAGTGGTGGTCAGGTGTGGGACTCCGGTGCCAGAGGGCCTAAGTGTGAATCCCAGCTCCTTCCCTCATTACTATGACACCGGTGTGACCTTGAGCACATGACTTAACTGCTGTGCCTGCTTTTGCCTTCCGTAAAATGGGGTTAACTACTCCATCTGGTTGTTCTAAGGATTAAATGAGTTGTACTCACATGGTGCTGGCATGCAGCAAGTTCCATATGCATGCATGTTGTCATTCTGTGACCCTGGGCAGTGATCACATCTCCAAGCATCAGTTTTCTCACCTGAAAAAGAGATGATAATAACACTATCTGCCTTATATGATAATTGAATTTTTTTTTTTTTTTTTTT